GATCTTCTTGGTCCTATCTTGGCATTAAAATCACCGACAATGATCTTGTAGAAGGTGTGATCTTCTTTATAGAACTTCTCCAGCTCCATGTAGAACTTCTCAATTTCTCTTTCACCATAATTGGATGTTGGTGCATAGACAACAAAGATAGAAACTGCCGGCAGTGAGCCACTTCTATTCAAGTGGAATCGTCCTGTTATCTCAGATGGGTGGCACATGTCAGGCTTTGAGGCAGCTGTGATCTCAGATAACGGGAACAGCAGCCTTTCTGCTCCCTATTATTTGTCTGGGCTTGTCTCAGAGTGCAACTCCTGGCACCTTCTGGCAACCATCACCTTGTCCACTCGCGCTCTTGCCCTGGACTGGTGTTGTTCCTGCTTTGTCTCCATCTCTGTTGCTCTTAGTCTAGATCTGCTGCGTTTTCTCTATCTCTCTGTCTCTGTCTGTTATTGTCTCTCTGTCTCTCTCTGTTTTTCTTTCTCTTCATTTTTTTGTTATTCCTCAAATTTATTATGACACAATTGACATATGACAGTGTATAAGTTTAAGGGGTACAAAGTGATGATGTATGGGAGTACACATTTTGTAGAATGACTACCATTTTAAGAACACTGCTGTTGTAAGGAACTGCTTTTTTCTAGCTAATATCCATCAAATCACAGTTTGTCATTTTTTTTCTTTTCCTTTGAGATGATGTCTTGTTATTGATTTGATTGCATCTGCCTGATGATTAAGGACCTCCTGAGACTGTCTGAGTTCATCATATTGACCAAGATCGTCCATGGTAACTCACAATTTCAGAAGGCCGAATCTAAACGTTGTACATGAGAGTCTCCTGGTTGATGATTCCTCAACAAAATTGACCACGTCATATTCAATCAAAGGTTTTGCCTGACTAATGTTGCTGTTGTCTCAAATTCCAAATGAGATCAGACCATCATCTCCTTCATGCAAATTCTACTTCACAGAGCGGGCATAAAGGGCTGCAGAGTTTAAGAAGAGAACTCCCACAATGACCACCAACCGGGAGCTCTTTGGCACTATTGTGGCAACATGGGAAGATGCCTTCACTGACAACATTGATGAAGAATACGATCAACTATTTCAGCACCTCCACGATTGTGCGAAGAACATCAAGAGGGAGATAGCCACAAAAAGACACCTGTCTTCAAAAACTCTGGACCTCATTTGCCTACGTGGCTTGGCGCAAGCCTCAGGCAACTGAGAGCAAATGTCCAAGCTCCCAAAACAGTGCACAGAAGTGATAAAGGAAGACCTCATAGAGAGAAGAGCAGCAGTACTGGCAGATGTGGCAGAAGGTGGAAAAAGCATTCACAATGCCCACCTGTCCTTCCCCAACTACAAGACCAAGATGACTGGCCTCAGACATCTTGATGGATCTATCACATCCTCCAGAAGGGCAATGGAGAAGATTATCCATACTTATCGGATGTATTCAATAGCCATGTCCACCTGCCCAAAATCTCAGTCTGTATGTTTCAGTGAGAAACTGAATCTAAAATGTGTTCTAATATAAAAAGTCCCAGAGTAGCCCCCAGTGTGGAGAGACAGAGGTGAAATGATATAATATTTTAATATAGTATTGAGTCTGATATTTTATGGATGAACAATTCATCAGATTAAAAACTCCCACATCTATATTTTCCTGATTCCAGACAAGTTGTTGCTAAAATTTGCAGGAAAAAAGACCCAAGTGATTCCATCAATCCTAGTACAACAACTTTTCAGTGAATAAAATGAACCAAGATTTTACAGCATACCCCTAGCACACTCTATCTTCCAGTGACTTCAAGGATGTGGAAAGCACTAGAAACTGTGAAAATCTAACCTTAATTATATGCCTTCACAGAATATTCTACTTGTGGTTGTATCTTATATACAAAAATCTGAAGGATAATACTGTTTTGTCCTTCCTGGATAGCCTCAAGTAGCATAGGTATATTGGGTTGCTCCCATCACAGTGCTCCCATTCCTCTGTGTTTACTTGTAACTTCTTTCTTTGTGCTTTGTTGACTTGTAAATATTGTTTTTCCCTTCTTCCTAAGACCTTTGCATAGTTTATTCAGAGCAATGTCCATTTTGTATGGACACAAGTAGATAAGCTTTTGTAATGTTACTCTCAGTGATATTTCCCTCCTGGGCATCTGTTCTCTCCCCTAAGCCTCAGCTCCCTTTAAGTCCTAGCGACCCCAAAATCAGGGTCCCAACGAGGGACTGGATGGAACCAGGGCAAGTGGTAAGCTATGTGCTGCCCTGGCATCAAGATGGGCCTGGCCAAAGTGCCATAATGCTTAACTAAAAGTTAAGAGCTTGGTCATGGGCAAATTCTGTCATGATCCAAAAGTAATAACTACATTTGGACCCTGCTAGGGATAGGAATAATTAATCTGGCCTGAGCAATGTAGTCTGAGTCTTTGGCAAGGTGTTCCCAGCAGAGAACATCTGCCCTGCAAGTCTCAATGTTATCTCTTACAGTGTCTATACAAAAATAGCTAGTATTGATATGTTGACAGTTATTGGACTAAGGAAAAGAGAAAAACACATGAAGGGGTATTTTGCCTTGGACAGTCAAGAAGAGCTTTGGAATATCCTAGGTGGTGTTCCCTTTGCACTTGTTTAGCCCTCAGGAAGGGCTTTCTTATGTTGATTTTGCTACCTGACTGGGGGCAGTGTCAGCCTGGAGAGATAAGGGAGTTAGAGAGAGAGAAAGAGGCAAGGCAAGATGGAGAGGCTAGCAAGGAGGACTGAGGGAGAAGAATGTAGAAGAATACAGAATCAGAGGAGGAGAGAGAGAGAGAGAGAGAGAGAGAGAGGGAGAGCAAGCTCAGATGGGAGATGGAGCATGGAGAGATAAGGGAGTTGGAGAGAGAAGCAGAGGAGTCAGGTGTGAAGGAAGAGAGGACTGTAATAAACTGCAAGGAAGACCAACCAACCTGGCTCTCACGTCTTCCTTTGTCTACCCTTGGCCAACAACCATCACAATTCAGGCTACACACAGCGACTCAAGAGAACCGAACCTGGGGAGGGGGGGGTGGGGGCGGTGATACAGAGTCGTCCAGAGAGCCCGCAAACACACAACTTTCTGCGTGCATAGTTTTTACATAAATTCACTTTTATTATGATTTCAAACAAGATTATTGGAATATATTATTAAGGAACCACCATCTCCGAATGCAACAGTTATATATACCTAGGTTGAGACATCAACATGATGAATGACCTGGCACCTGAGTTGCGCAGGAGGAAGAGAGCAGCTTGGAATGCCTTCAAGAGCGTTGAAGAAATAACTAAGAGGACAAAGAACCTCCAGGTACAAGCACACCTCTTCAATTCCACTGTTCTTCCTGCATTAACATATGCCTCAGAGACCTAGGCCCTGCGAAAACAGGATGAGAACGCTATTTGGGTCTTTCAAAGAGGAATCGAAAGAGCTATACTTGGAATATCACGATTCACTCAAATGAGAGATAGAATCCATAATTCTGATCTCCTTCAACGCTCAAGAATAAGGGATGATGTCTCATTTTCCCAGGCACCAAAAATCAGATGGGTTGGACACGTAATGAGATTTACAGACAACCACTTGACTAGAGCCATTACTGACTGGATTCCAAGGACATCAAAAGATCGTGTGGACGCCTACCTACAAGATGGTCAGACTTCTTCATCAAGACCCTGAATGATCGGTTTGAGGCTCTGCATGTTCCTAGAACGAACAGATGCCATTGGGCTATGCTAGCACGCAACAGGGATGAATGGAGACGTTACTGGCACCCGCTCGAGTAAATCGATGAATAACGGGGATCAAGTGATCAATTGACTGGGGGAGAATTGCTTCTAGTTTTTTCTTATATATTGGTGGTTGATGGTGTCCTTAGAGCATGGATAGGATAGATATTTTGAAAACTATATGGAAGGTAAATATTACATATTTCCTTTATATCATTTGTGATAGTTTCTTTTCCATGATTTTATCACTTACATTCATTCTCTTCAAAACATTTTCTTCTAATTTGAAAACTAACTTTCAGTATACTCATTCTCTTTCCTAATTTTATATGCTGATAAATACATGTATGAAGTCTCCCATTTTTAATTACCGTTTTCTTCTTTCTGAGTGATCTCTTCCATTTTTAGCAAATGAATCTTTAAATGAAAATTTTTATTTATATATGTATTGTTCTTCTTTCGTTCATTTTTCGAATTTAAAGCTAGTATCTCTGAGAATCTCACTGATTAGTACTTAAAACATCCCTTCCTCATGAGTAGCAAAGTGATCCACTACATCTGAAATTGGAAAGGGAGATCATGAGACATTACGAGGATGGCATTATCGAATGTGAATGGAAGCCCCAAAAACTTGAAAAACATTAATAGAACTAAAAGAACCAATTAATGCTGATTGTCAGGGGTTTTTATCAGTTTGTAAACATCATATAATATCTGAGAGTAGAGGAGAATTTACTGGAAATAAAACAAATCTCATATGCACATTTTTATGTAACCTTGACATACAAATCAAGAGTAATTAATCTGACTGGTTTTAAATTAATAAAATCTCATTTATATTACTCCGAAATTTAATGAAGAAATCTTAATGTGTTGCATTTACAAGTTTAATTTAGGTATTTTTGATATTTTATTACCCAACCATATATAAACACAATATTCGCCTTCAAATGTCCACTAGAATCAGTGTGGGGTATTTTTTTATTTTTTTGCTTTTTGGGTCATACCCAGCGATGCATAGGAGTTACTACTGGCTCATGCACTCAGGAATTACTGCTGGCGATGCTCGGGGGACCATATTGGTTTCTGGGAATCGAACCCAGGATGGCTGCTTGCAAGGCAAATGCCCTACCCACTTTGCTATTGCTCCAGCCACTATATTCACTTTTAATTTCTGAAATTTCCTGATAGATTATGTCAAGATTGCTCATAGAAATTGAAATTATCTCTCAACAAAGAATACATAAATGTCATCCACACAGAGAAGCTTTATTTATCTTAAAAATCTTTTGTACAGCTGACTTAACGGCTTTATTTCTCAGGCTGTAGATCATTGGATTGAATGTTGGTGGAACTATTGTATACATAATAGTGAGTAAAATGTCTGACACGGTTGGGGAGTCTGAATGAGATTTAAAGTACTCAAATGCAGCTGTAGAAAGAAATAATAAGACAACAGCGAGGTGGGGGAGGCAAGTGGAAAAGGCCTTAGCTCTGCCCTCTGCAGATGGCATTCGCAGTACAGAAGAAAATATGTGCATGTAGGAGAATCCAATAAAGGTAAAACAAAGAAATGTCACCAAACCCAGGAAAATAGAGACACTGAGCTCATAGATATAGTCATTGGAGCAGGACAGTTTCAGAATCTGGGGGATATCACAGAAGAACTGGTGAATGATGCGGGGGCCACAAAAGTGGATGGAGAAAGTAGCTGCTGAATGCATGACTCCAGAGATGACCCCACTAACCCAGATGCAAGCGACTCCATGGACACAGGTTCTGATGTCCATGATGATGTCATAGTGCAGGGGCAGGCAGATGGCAACATAGCGGTCATAGGACATCAGCGTGAGCATGAACATCTCAGCAGAACAACAGAGAGTGAAAGCAAAGACCTGCATGATGCATTCCAAGAGGGAAATAGTTTCACTATGCATGAAAGAGTTGTAAACGAATCTCGGTACTGTCACAGAAACATAGCAGAGATCCAGCAAGGAGAGATGCTTCAGGAAGAAATACATGGGGGACTGGAGACTGTCATCCAGGGAAGTTGTGGTGATGATGAGCATGTTGCCAGTTAAAGCCAACAAGTACAAAATGAGGAACAAAGAAGCATAGACGATTTTTAGCTCAGGCTTGGTAGAAAATCCTATGAGGAGAAATCCGCTTGTTGTGAAATTAGCCATAATCTTCAATAACTTTATATGATGTTGGTTGGAAATCAGAGGTCAACTCTCTAGAGTTGCAAAACAATGGTAAACAAACCAATAAATTAATAGCTAAGTATAAATCTATTCTTCATAAATACAAAAATGTTAAGTTTGAGATAGTGCCGACAAGTATTTATGTAAAAGTAACAATTATATTACCATAATCATCAGTTGGGCTGGAGTGTAAGCACAGTGGGTAAGGTGTTTGCCTTGCACGCAGCTGACATGACCGATCAGGATTTGATTCCTCTGCTCCTCTCAGAGAGCCCGGCAAGCTACTAAGAGTATCTTGTCCACAAGGCAAAGCCCAACAAGCTCCCCGTGATGTATTCAATATGCCAAAAAAAGTAACAACGGTGCCCACTCGAGCAAATCGATGAACAACGGGAGGACAGTGCCACAGTGCTAATCATCAATTAACCCAAATTCTATCAATTAATATATTTATATATTTCTTATTTAAAATGTCTAAATGAAAGCTTTGGAATCTTTTTTGAAAAATAAAATTACCTGTGCTATTACTACTCATTACATAAATAGTATCATTTATAATCATTTTTATTAAAATACAAATAATAGAATTATTAAATTTTTAAGTAATTTTGTATGTAACATATTAAATCTTTTGTACATAATATACTTATCCCATTCGACAAACATTATTTTATCAGGAAAGTTATCCAAAATATATAATATTACGGTCAATTTCTGCCTATATTTTAAAAAAGATCAGAATATTTAACAGAAGAAAATTAGTCTATAAAATAAAATGTGTTAGTTTACATATAAATAACACTCTGATGTAATTAGTAAATAATTCGTAGCACTGTAGGACTGTCCTCCCATTTTTCATCAATTTGCTCAAGCGGGCACCAGCAGCATCTCATTACAAATTGTGAGACTTATTACTCTTTTTGGCATATTGAATATATCACAGGTATCTTGCCAGACTTTACTGTTTAGGGCCCTGGATATTTCACAGTGCCAGAGTACTGAGGTACTAACCTATGAGTGAGGCAATGGGTTCAATTCTATGCACTCGCGAAAGAAAAGAGAAAAATCGATCTCACAGTGATTTACTTTTTTATTGAATCAGTGTGAGAGAGACCCTTAGAAAGCTGTTCAGGATTAGATTTGTCATAGTGTTCTAATATCCATCCCTCCACCAGTGTCCATTTCCTAGTGTCCCGAAGTTCCCTTCAATCACCCCACCGTCTCTCTCTCTCTCCTCTCTCTCTCCCTCTCTCTCAATTCTTTTATACTTAATACAGTAGTGAAACAGACAAATCCTGAAATTAAATTAATAGAAGTTTTTAGACACTTGAAAATGAAGTTATACTTCGCCAAGGATATTATATCTAGGATATCAAATGCATGAATTGATAGAATGGAAATGGGCACTAAAAAATTAGAAGGTAAAAAAGAACATAGTGTGCAATTAGTTTTCTCTAGAGAATATACGATTATGTTTATACTGATTAATAGACTTTCACCGTAAATCAGACACACCCAGAAAACACTGATCTTGCTGTAAGTTTTTCATCACTAGAAAAATTCCAAGGATTAGACTGTACTGATTTAAGATGAAGTAATGTAGTTTCCTTGCATCTGTTATGATTGTAGCACTTGCTCCAGCGGGCACCAGTAACGTCTCCATTGTGAGACTTGTTGTTACTGATTTTGGCGTATCAAATACACCACTGGGAGTTTTTGAGGCTCTGCAGTGCTGGTGGGATACTTTGGAAGCTTGCCGAGTTCTCCAGGAGGGATGGAGGAATCAAATCTGAGGCAAGACAAACACCCTACCTGCTGCTCCAGCCCTTCAAATAATTATACAGGGAAAGCATTCAAGTCAGATTTGAATAAGGACACCATCTCTCAGAACTCAAAAACACAGCACATATCAAATTATATATTTCTGGAGATCAATTCACCCTCAATTTCTTGTGTGTGTGTTTGTGTGTGTGTGTGTTCCACAGAAGTCATAAAATAAGATTTAAACTAAATTGAACTAAAGCATTTAGTTTTATATAGGTATACACGTACTGGTAAAAAAAGACTTTGTAGACAATTCTTCTTGAGAACATAATGACACATTTACTCATTTAGGCATTCTCCTCAGGCTTCTTCAACTTACCAGGTCAATTTTTGTAGCCTCCAGAAGCTTCTTCCATCTCAGTATATTTGAGAGCATTGGCTTAATTTTCTAGATAGAAACCAAAAAACAATTTATATACATGGAAATTTTGTTCATTAATCCTAAAATCTTATTCTTGATCACTAATATGAAGATGAATGAGAAAATGCAATAGACAGAAGCTCATTGCCTTTAGATAGGCCCAATTTGGAATGGTAACATCTATTCAGTCCAAAATCACAATTTACATATACATCTTCCATTCATTGCATGCCTCTGTATTCCTGAAATCGAAGAAAACGTGTATATTAAATAATTTTTTAAATACAGGGCTTCTAATAAAGTTGACTACAGAAAATGAACATATTCTTAGGAAAATTGAGTTTATGAATAAAGATGTGTATTTGCAATATTTGAGTTAAGAGAAGGTAAAAATAAACATTTAAATCTCAAATTTAGCTGATTAAATTATATTAATTGGACAAATTGACGAAATTTCATTTAATTTTTAAAAATTGTAATTCAAGGTTTTACATCTAAGTGCTAAAAAATAAATGTATTTGGGCTAGAACAACACAATGATGGTTTGGATGCAAATAGTTAGCTCCCTTAGCTGCCATCCTATGGTCATTAACTTCTTGGGTGAAATTTCAAAATGCCTCTAGCTACCTACTTTCAATATGATCCCAATACTTAGAGTTCACTTAAATCCTTGTTTTTGCACAGTGGACAATACAATCCTCTGGAGGGCAGGGGTTGGGAGGGAGATAGTAAATCAAGAGGGCTCTAGTAGCTTTGATTGCCATTGGGTACAAGTTCTCTTTAGTCACTTTTAAATTTCTAGGCATGGTTTGTTTTCTGAATAGGGGTGCTAAGTTTCATTTGATTTTTTTTCTGACAAATGATTGGCAAACACAGAAGGTTTACAACCAGTGTTTTAGGTGGAGGTGGATGATTTTTAAATATAACCAATGTCTCTCGATACGCTTATGAAATTTACTATTATTTGTGCTAATTTGCTCTCCATTTTTTAATATTTTGACCATTCATATATCCATCGTAGGACTTTTCTTAAATTTCTTTCTGTCAGAATTCATCTCACCTCCTCCCAAGGTAGAAAAAGTCAGAAATCTGAAGTGGATTGATATTAAATAAAGTATGATCTTTCATCATACTCTGACAAAGTTTATCTAGAATTACTTTTGGAAAAAAAATGTGGTTAGTAGTGGGGAAGAAAATGTGGTTGCCCAAGCTTTATCAGCTTTTATATTTGTTTATTTGAACAATATGCCTGCAATCTCAAATATGGAAAGAATTTAATAAGTTATGTAATTAAATTTTACGGCATTCATGAATATAAAGATAGAGCAATAAATAATTCTGTCCTTTGATCCACACATTCACCCTGAATTATTTCTTTATTTGTCTATATGAAGAAAGAAATTCCCCACTCCGCAGCCCCGATCATTCCAAAATAGGTTGTCTACAGTCTTCTCTTCCATATACCTAGTTTTTATGAATGTTTCTTAGCTCATGCGTTTCCTTTCATTTCTCAAGTCAAGGACAATGATATTTTATCTTATCCAGTCAGAAGTTCTACCTTAGAGGCATTCCACTGTTCAATCCACTCTGTCTTTCTGAAACCTTTGACTCACCAGAGGACAGACAGGAGCCTCTTCCCTCAACATAAGGACAGGCATCAGTGGGTGTAATTCGCACTTAGTGAAGGTTTGATCTCTGTAATGAACCAACCTCAGAAAACTATCTTCTTCTGAGAGAAAGAAATTAGTCTATTTCAAACCTCAATGGCCCCAAGAGGTTACAGCAGGAATTTATTCGAAGCAAACCTCCTGACCTCTGGACATTTTGAAGTCTTAATAAATTCCCTTGAGTCAAAACTTGAAATTATATGTTGGAGCTGATTTAATGACCATAGTAAGCAAGGTGAGTTTTTATTTTTGGTGTGTGTGTCCATGGAATAATTTATTGAAAAACACTAATCTCTATTTATAATTCAGGGATAGCCAACAATTGATTTCATCGATTAAGTGGCTATTGTGGGAAATCACACTGTCCTGAATGCCCTAAGATATGTGCAGTGTCCCGGGTTAAACAAGCCTGCAGGAAACAGTGTTCCTTGGATTTCTACAGTAATACTGAGAGAGGGAATTCGACACTGCTGCTGGGATTGGTGTTAAAACACTATCTTCCTCAAACTGACTATGCATAACTTTGTAAATCACAGTTCTTTAAATTTATAAAACTTTTTAATAAAGAAACACATTTGCTTGGTAAGGCACCTGCCTTGCATGCAGCTGACCCCAGGTTCAACCCGCAGGACTCCAGATAGCCCCTGTGCTCACCAGAAATGGATCTTGGGTGCAGAGCCAGGAGTAGGCCTTGAGCACTGCCAGGTGTGGCCCCAAGAGTGAAAATGCATTTGCTTCCCGTGAAAAGTTTCAAAAGTGAATGAGTGCTTATTGTTGGGTGAAGTCTAAAACACAAATGACCTGCATGACCTCTGTTATAGTGAACAGCATTCCTTCTATGCCTTATTTTGTTGCGTGCTTATTATGAGGAACAGTAGGGTTGTTAGATGCTTTGCCAAATGTTTTTCATTGTTTCATATTGTCTATTCAGTATTTCTTGTTCTACCACTAACTTGGGCTGGATCGATAACATACCTGGGATGGCATTTGCCTTACATCCGGCCATCCTGGGTTCAGTTCCTTCGTCCCTCTTGGCAAGCTACAAAAACTATCCCACACGGCAGAGCCTGGCAATCTCTTCAATGGCGTATTCCATATACCTAAAACAGGAACAGTGAGTATCACAATGG